GGGGGGGGGGGGGCAGTGCCAGTTGATTTACTGTTGCACATTATTTTGCTGGGGGGCACTTGGCTTTCCCCGGGGTTTGCCCCCCCCCCCCTTTGAGATATAGCTGAAAGAAACCCTGGTCATTATGTCATAATTTACGAATTTATAATTTTGGCACTGATAGGTGCAATGCTCTCTAGCGTAAAAAATTACCCAACCTGGTGTAACAAATTGTCTGATAGAAACAGTAAGTAGACCTACATGATGGGTAGCATCGATACGTTCCACGTGATGTGTAACCATTGCTCATTTCTCTAGCACACTTTTACTTTTACAAAGATTAAGTGAATTTATGTGGAAAAGAAGAAGGGATATGAGGTCATGTAAACGTATTATATAACACAAAACCATGACATTTTGTATACACACCCCTACCCTTTATAACGTTATATAACATTTCCATTGACCATCTCCCCTAATATTATATGAAATTTCTAGCGATCACCCCTTCCCCCCCCCCCCCCCCCCCCCCCCAATAAACAGAATCAAGTACAAAAACAAGCAAATTTCAACCAAAACATATAATTTTTTTTTTACAAAATTATTATTTTTTATATCATTGTGAGCAAAAAATACATTTTAGTTTTTAAAAAATCTAGGCTATTTTCGTAAATTTGAACAACAGAAATTTTACAAAATAAAATTAATTTAAATTAAATTTTAAAACAACTATTATATAATATTGCTCGCTACCACTCCCGCCACATATAACTCAATCTAACATGATGATTAACCATCCCTACCCCCTTTACGTGCACGGTCCCTAATATATCATTCTTAAAACCACTTTTGATGAGAAAAGCTTTTTCAAAGGAAATATGATGTCTATTGTTTAGAACGGTGCCAGATCAACCAGTGAGCCTTTAGGGTGACTTGCATCAGACCTACTCTGAGTTTTGAAACTAAACTAATAGGCTTAATTAGGCCTACTTATCCCATTAATTTATCACGTCATGATTGTTTCTAATTTTCGATTCAGTTGTACGTATTACCTTTCAATCGAGAAAAGAAATAATTGATTCATGATTCTTAGCTTATTATTCTATTTATGTATCCAAAGTAGTAGTACAAAAGTAGAGAGCCAGCTTCTATCGTAAGTCGGTAGAGAGAAATAGTTTTTTGGGTTTTTTTTTTTCTCGTGGTTTTAGTAGGTAATTTTAAAGTAAAAGTGACAAACCCGCCTAGAGGCATGCGGCCCACCACTTTAAATATTGCGGCCTGCGGATGCCTGATTCATCACAATAAACTTATAGGGCCTACCTTCTTCATTCAGTAGAAAAAGAAATATATTTTTAAATGATAGGCGACAGCAACGGGGCCGTGCATACATTATATAACACAGAAATGTGATTTTTTAATATTTTTTTTTACCCGTCCTCCTTACCCCTTATAATGTCATATACCGTTAACGCTTCCATTGACTAGAGGCAGATCGAATGGGATTTTCCGGTTTAGGCCGGAACCAAAAGTTAAAAATGACTTTCGGCCTAAACCAAAAGCCTAACGAGTCTTTCCGCTGAAACCAAAAGATTTAAATAACTCGAAACTCGTTTTGCGCGCGTCGAAAAATAAGGGGAAAACTTGTGTGGCCATTTAACAATCGAGTATACGATGGCCTAGGATTTTTTGCGTGTTGCAGTCAATGTTTTCTAAATAATTTTCTGTTTTCGGCAGAAGCCGAAAATAGGCCGAAAGTTTAAAATGACTTTCGGCCGAAACCGAAAAAATGCCGAAAGTTTAAAAATGACTTTCGGACGAAACCTAAAAAAGGCCGAAAGTTAAAAATGAATTTTGGCCCAAGCCGAAACCGAAAATGAAATATTAAGATATTTTGAAATTCGTTCCCGCACACATTCTGCATACATCGAAAATGATGTGGGAAAGTATAAATATTTACATTCTTTAAAAAAAAAGGGATAATCGTGAATATTAATAAATAAAAATCTACTATAGGGGTCTCAAACTCGCGGCCCGCGAGCCATTTGTGACTCGCAAGACGATATTTTCGGCCCGTTACATGACAGAAAAGTTTAGTGTAAATGCGCCGGCCCGTTTCCCTCATTCTCATATCTATAACGTGACTCTCCGCGACGTTTTCAGTCGAATCTCACCGACTAGTCTAATTCTGATTTTTTTTTTTTTAATGTTTCATTATATTTTTGTATGCCAGGTCTCTGGCAACAGTGAGTAGTTCTTGAGAACCCTTAATGATTGTATTGTTATTTATAAAGGTTGAGCAGATTGTAACAGTTGTAATCGCTTTTTTGTGGATTACTTGATGCGGCCCACTCTCATTCAGACACTACCTCCTGCGCCCCCCCCCCTTGATGATTTGAGTTTGAGACCCTTGATCTAATGAATACTTTGGATT